GTTAAATTCTCCGAATATTTGCAGCCCGTTAATGAAAACGACAAAAAAGGTTAGCATACTAAGCCCATCGATAATTAGACGTTTCACGCTAATCTTATCTTCTGAAACGATAACCCTGATCAATACAACAAGGAAATCGCAATAATTGAACTAATTGAATGCTGAGTAGATATACTCCAGTCGGACTTCAACACAGGCACTTTATTAGATATTAAACTTACTTTAAATCCTGTAGGGCACCAATCCACAAACTGAATGGAACGCTTTGTCTTGATAGCTGCGATTGAAGCATTCACATCTTTGGGTACAACATCACCTCTGCAAAACAAAATAGCTCACCGATTCAGATAGATAATTTACTATCTACTTTCAGAAGGACTTCAACAAATAGTTGCAATCAACTCATCTTGCAAGGCAAGTCGAAAATTATGTATCGAAAAGCCGTTTTCTAATACGTTACTCAATAAGGAACTGTCTGTTAAGAACTTTCCGTATACGAACCTGTACAAAAGACAGACAGCCATGTATTTTCCGTGACGAGGATCGCATTTAACCATCTGATTCGCAGGTTCGAAACACATATTCGTTATGTCAGCAACAGATAATGTCTCGTGGTAAGCCTAGAAAATTTGAATAAAGAGTATATAAACAAAATTGAACTAAAGTACCTTTTCTGAGGATATGACGGGTGAATAAGTCGCCAGAGGGAAGTGTATTCGAGGGTACGGAACAAGGTTGGTTTGGAATTCAGTTAGATCTACGTTTAAGGCCCCATCAAACCTCAGCGAGGCAGTGATGGAAGACACCACCTAAAACATCTCATAACGGTAACGGCTAACTACATCCGTACTCAAACAAACCTGTGATATGAGTCGATTGAGGTTAGTATAGCTAGGTCGCTCTACATCCAGATTGCGACGACAAATATCGTAAATGGCCTCGTTGTCAACCATAAAAGCGCAGTCAGAATGCTCTAGTGTGGTGTGGGTGGTCAGAATTGAATTGTAAGGTTCTACGACAGCGGTTGAGACCTATATTTCATTATAGAGGGTAAAGAGGTATACTAGGCAGAGATGAAGTGTAGCTAACCTGTGGGGCTGGGTAGATAGAAAACTCAAGTTTGCTCTTCTTTCCGTAATCGACGGATAAGCGTTCCATCAGCAGTGATGTGAAGCCCGATCCGGTACCTCCACCGAAGGAGTGGAAAATAAGAAATCCTTGTAATCCCGAGCAGTTATCTGCCAGACGGCGAACTCGGTCCAGCACTAAGTCGATAATTTCTTTGCCTATAGTGTAGTGACCTCTTGCATAGTTGTTAGCGGCATCTTCCTTCCCAGTGATGAGCTGTTCAGGATGGAACAACTGCTTATATGTGCCAGTCCGGATTTCATCTGAAATTTTCTCTTAAGACAAGAATTTCCTACAGCCTAAACCGTGCAGTGCTCACAACTACAAGATGGATGCAATATAAGGAGTGTGATTTTTTAAAGCTTCCGACCAAAAAAATACGCCTATTCCAAGAAA